GGGGGGGGGGGGGGGGAAAGGTCAGTGTATAATACGATGAGTTCTTACGGTTTAAGTGAACAGTTGGTTAGTTTCAGCTTCTTCAGTGTCTGAGAGTGTACTAGGGTGTGTGCCAGCTCATCAAAGACTTCACCAGTCTAAAAGAAAACAACATTATCAAACATACACATAACTTAACTAGCACATCATAAAAATGCAATTTCATAGTAATTGTTACTATAGCTTTGTCAGGTACATAGGATTCCCCATCACACATAGTACAAATATGCAAAACAATTATTATGAATATTTGAGATTTCTACAACAAAAAAACATGTACTAAAATTCATAATAATATGCTTGTGCTAAGAAGTGTACTATACATGTACTAAATGTGTAGTACTGAGGTATTAGATGTGATAATGGTCTAACAATAGGTTTACTATACACACTCACCACTTTCATTCCATCAACTGAAAAGGAATCGAAGTAATTGTTGTGACGTAAAGTAGCTACCAATGGGAGAAGATCCCTTTAGAATAAAAGAAGAATTATAAGTAACAATTAAGAAAAAATGAATAAAGAGATAAAGAGAGAGAAAGAGAAGAGAGGGGCAATTAAAACACAGAGAGTAAAAAGAGTGAAATAAAAAATAGAATTAAAGGAGATACAAGATTCAATATACATGTATGTACCTGATTGAAAAGTGCTCAAAATCTCTTAAGTTAAGCTCACGGAATCCGTGAGTCCAATAAGCAGCTCTTAAATACTAAATTGAAAATAAAAACAAGCAAATATTAGCATACAAGCAATGCAAATACTATACAAGTACGACTTATCCACATAGACATGTACATGTACATTATAATCATTATTGTTACACACAATTGCCCTGTACGTTAACACAACATGAAACTGAAAAAGGTTCATTACAAAATAAACACAAAAACATTTATTGAAGCTTATGATCAACTTTAACCAAACAAAATAATGAGCATCTAGTCGATAAGGCTTCGGTAAACAAAAGATAATATTTTTATAGTATTCTTGATCAAAACTGGTCTCACTCAACGACAGTATAATAATTACTTACTGATGATATTTCAGCTATATATGGTATATTGTGCAGGTCACATAGGAATCCATATATGGTGATAAAGCTCTCGAGTGAGTTGGGATCTGAAGAGTCCATTGCCTGCCGGAGAGACTCATGAAGGAGACTGACCTCTGAATTAATGGACTCAGTACTGTAAGAAGCTTTTATAAGAGTACTAGGAGAGAGAGGGGGAGGGAGAAAGAGAGAGAGGGGGAAAGAAGATAGAGAGAAAGAGAGGAAATAGACTAAATCAACATGCATATCTTGTAATGTACATAATAACATTCATAATTTCACACATGCATCAAGTGTACATAATCTCATGCTATAAGTGTACATGTACATGTATATGTACATGTATACATGTACATGTAATGCAAATCTCACTCAAGTGGTGTCACAGGGAAAAGATTCTTCAGCTGAGCCAGGATAAGGCCAACTATAGTCACTCCATTCTTTCTGTCTGTTGTGAACTCTCTCGGTCTGCCTTCTCCAATTAAATGAAACACCAGCTACACACAAAAGAATAAAAATAAAGAAAATGATATTATAGAGAGAACGTGGAGAAAAAATATAACATAAACTTCAGTCTAAAATCACGTATAATAGTCTCACCTTCTTTTCTGAGCATTCAATAAGTGTTATCTTGAGAAAGTTGAAGCTGGTCTCCAACTACAGAGATTATAAGAAACAACACATGGAGTTGATGATAACTATCTTTTCCAAAATGATCGAGTGTTGTGAGTTACATAGCAATAACATTCAGCTACACTGAGACACACACACCAAATAAGCTTATTATTATTAATGCATCTCTCTTTCATTATCACATTCTTTGAACTTTTATTCAGTTACTTATCACACTATAGCTCACTCCTCATTATATATACAATATATTACTGGTAATAAAATGCATTTTTTCCCACTTTAACTGAAGGTTTTTGTGCAATAACATGACATCTACTGCTACTAACAACCTAAAAGAGAGAGAAAGAGAAAGAGAGTGAGAGAAAGTGAAAGACAAGAGAAATATGAAAAGGGAGGGAGAGAGAGAGAGAGAGGGTGGTACAACATGTAAGTCACTGATTGTCCATAAGTAGAAGGATGTTGAATATAACTAATTATGATAACAGGATACTTATCAATCTCATTACAAGTATCTCACTTCCATACATATAAATATCATTATTAAATCAGCAACTATAATAGTCATCTTTAGTTACGTACGTATACATTGCAACAGCAGCAGCGTGTGCTCATTATACTTGACATGTTATTAGTAGCTATTTGGTATACAATAGATGTGTATTCAACACAAATGACCATGTAAACACTTTATTAAAGTGACGAGAGTACATGTACTCATGACCATCACATAATCTGTATTTGCAATACAACGTACTACATACTGTTACATATTCTATATTTGCATGGTTCTAAATATACACAAGAGCGTTGATAATGTACATCTGATTATGTAGGGTCTATGTATGTGCCAAGTCTCAATCTATCCAAACAATACTGAGCAGGTTCATTACACACACTGAGTACAGTTTATACAAAATAGGTTGGGACTAGATCATGGTGTGCATGCACATGCAGTGTGTGTGTGTGTGTGTGTGTGTGTGTGCGCGCGCATGTATTAAAAGTTACCAGCGTCTTTGGGTCTGATACAATTCCTTTCTTTGTGTGAGTCTCTACTGAGAGGACACGGCGGAGAAACACGCGCACAGCATCATCACCCAGCACAGCTATCTCTTGCTCTGTACAAAAAGAATCGAATGAAATCAAGCACCGAGCAATTAGGCACAACTGCGTTGGGCTTTACCTGTTAGCTCGAGAGGTTTACCAAATATATCCAGCGACTTATCCTCGCTACTAGCCATTGCTGTTTTTTCTAATTTTGCTGATAAAAGCAGCAAAACTCTGACCGGCCCTGCCTTCTTGTAATTATATTCATAGATAGTTGTCATGGTGATAGGTTAATTATAAACTGTTATTAAATTAGATATAATGCGGTTTGGTATTGGTTAATATTCAAAATAAAAAATAATCTTAGGCTAAACTTCAAAAGTAGATATTACAATATCTATAGTTAAAACCATTAAAAATGAGCAATAAAATATTTAAGCAAACATAGATTTATAAAATTAAACTTGTTATTGATCACCCGAACTAAGAAACACGCTCGATTGTAGATCTATATTGGATCAGTTATGATTTTGCTGAAAAAGAACTGTAATTCCCATCCTTTTTCCCATCGCTTGCATCAGGCGCTGCACCACTTCTTGATAATTCCTTTTCTTCTTCTGCCCCATTTTCATTCAAACAAGGGCTACCTCGCATTTTTGCATAAAGTTTACGACAGTAACATACGAACTTAGCAATAATGAAGCCTGTCATCCAAATGAAAGGAACAAAAATAAGGATGTACTGTATGACAAAAGTTGCAAGACTAAGCTGCATTGAGCTCTGGGTGCGAGAATACTGGTACATACTGAGAGTGTTGATAAATACTAAGAGAAGGAGCATGAACATATCAACACGACTCATCCACTTTTCCTTTTCATATGGATACAGAAAAATGATAACCATCATTCCGGTGAGTAGGATACCCTGCTCTACAGTGTATTTTTGGAAGAATGAGAGTGGCAATACATATGCTACGAGAAGAGCCACACGGAGAATAAAGTAGGCTGTTTCAATCCAACGATGATCGTGAAAATGGCGAAAAATTTTGTCAAGACCACTGCCAACAGCATCATCATCTGTCTGAACTCTGTTGCGCTTCTTGCGAAAAAGACTCACAAGTTTATCAAAACACGGGAATCCATGATAGTTCTTAAAGTCTCGAAGGTATGTTACGAACAGTATGAGGATTGGATACATTAATAGTAGAAATAGTATGCTCCAACCAATGATAGCAAAGAAGATGTAAGGAAATGATGTGTAATTGGTACTTGCATCGAATAAAGAAACAAGACGAACAGCATCTCCATTACTATCATAGAGATAAACTCCGCTAATGAGGGATGCTGAAGTGATAGCAAGTTTAGAGTACGAGAGAACAAGAACGGAAACTTTAAGATTGTGATTAGCGTCTTCCAAATCCATAGACAAATTTAAAGACTTTCTTAGATTGGAGCACCAGGCAAGTCTGCATAGACATGATAGCTTTTTTAAGCCATCTACTTTAACAAGAGCTGTTCTAATCCCTAAAACAACACATAAAAGGACAATAGGATATATTGCAATTATGTATTCGGTTAAGAAATATATGAGGTAAGACTCTGCACGAAAGAGACAAAGTTCTTTTGAAAATGGACTAAAGAACTCCAAATTCCAAACCCCATATAGAAATTGGTAAGTGCCTATTAAAGCCTCTGATCTTTGTGGGTTGTCAGTGATATTAGAAATGGGAATAAAACCATCGCCCGTAATATCCATTGTTGTTGTGATCATTTGCGCAAAGAAAATGGCAGAATTGAGTCCACCGTCGACAAGACTGAACCCGGTTGCATAGAGAAATAAAAATAACAGTGTGCTAGGAATGATTTCAATGAGTATGAACAAAAACCACTGTAAGGCCAGATTAGAACATGCCCCATTCTGTGCACTTATGCACTCACCTTTTCTGTTGTGATAGAAACCATCATCACAACGACTGCACAACAGACCAGTCGCATTTGCCCTACAGGGGTCAATAACCTCATCTCCAACTACAGCAATTGCATCGGGTTGGGATATTTTTACACCAAAGGAGACCTGCTCACAGAACTTACAGTAGCCATAAGCAGCTTCGTCCACCAAACTGCTGCTATTCGTGATGTTATCTTCGGCGGCACTATACGTCGTTCGAATCTCGAGACCACCGGCGGCGTTACTTTGAGTTGATGCGTAGCCAATTACGGCATATCTCCTGAAGGAAGTGATTTGAATGTCCCCATTGTTATCAGAACACCTCAAGTCACTTCTGCCGGTACAAGTGGAGGGACAGCAAGAAAAACAGAGTCTGCTTTCATCCCGGCAGGGGCCAAGACCAAGATTGCGGCAAACAGCTCCGCAGGCGCCAATCCCACTGTTCACAGAGATGATTGATACTGATGATAACACAAAGAGCACCTTCAGCATTCGCATTTTGATTATTTTGTAACTCGCAGACCTTCAGTGCTCTGCCTGGTTTTATAGCCCTGCTGCATGCTCATCATGTGACCATGTGATAGTTTTTTTATAAAAATAACTTTAAAATACAAAATCAAAATTCAATCAAAACCACAAAAATAATTATGCTATGGAAAATCTATAAAAAGTTTGTGATAACACACACACACACACACACACACACACACACACACACACGGATTTTCATTTATGTTGATCTTGAACGCTTAATTCATCAAGTAGTTGAGTGCGCTCTGCTGGACAGCAGCAAGACCTCAATAGTTTTCGCTTCAACCACTTGGCAAAATGTGCTACAAAATAGACAATTATCCAAATTTCTGGAATAAAAACAAGACTGTACTGCGTATAAAAGACACTGACAGAGAGAGGTTGTGATCCCTCGACTTGTGCATACTGGTAAATGCTCAGTGTATTAATAAACACAAGAAGAACTAGCATGAACATGTCAACAAATCGCATATGCTTCCGATTAGGAAAAAATGAAATAGCCAAAGCTCCTATGAGAAGTATCCCTTGCTCTATGATGAATTGATGAGCAAAGATAAATGGTATTGCACGAACTATTAACAGGATGACTCGAAGGAGCAGAAAAATAGCCTCTAACACACGCTTCTCATCAAAAGCACCGTCATCATTCAGAAACAGTCGAAAGAACTTATCAAGTCCTAAGCATACATTTGACTCCCTATAATCTCTTAAGTACTGCATTAGAAGTAATAAAATAGGGTAGAGGAATAATATGAAAACGACTAACAAGGCAATGATTACAAATAAAACGTAAGGGATTGATACATACTCAATGCTGGGGTCAAAGAGAGAGACAGTGCGGACATATTGATCACCAATGTCATAGATCTTGACTGGAAATATAAGCATCATCGAAGTAACGGCTAGTTTTGAGTATGAAAGGACAAATACAGACATTGCCAAGTTATGCATTGAATTATCCCAGTACCTGCTATTGTTTCGTTTCCTCACTCTTCTGCATATAGCTCTCACTAAGGCAACGAAAGCCAAAATGGCGATAGGATAGAATGCAATGATGTATTCAACAACGAAATACACAAGAAAAGAGTCGACGTGAAACAGACAGAGTTTTTTCGAAAATGGACTAAAGAACTCTAAATTCCAAACGTCATACAAAAATTGGTAAGCCCCAATTAGATTCTGTGATGTTTGTGGGCTGTCAGTGATATTAGAAATGGGAATATAACCACTGCCTGTGATATCCATTGTTGTTGTGATCATTTGTGCAAAGAAAATAGCAGAATTGAGTCCACCGCTGATCATGTCAAACCCAGTTGCATATAAAGAAAGAAACAATGCAGTACTGGGAACTATTTGAGAGACAATGAAAATAAACCAATCCATGGCCAGATTAGAGCAAGATACACAGTCTCCTCTCCTATTGTGGTAAAACCCACTGTCACATTCGCTACACAAGAAACTCTCATTGTTAGTGTTATTTTTACATAAGTCTATAAACTCGTTATCACGGGCGACAACAACTGTAGGTTTGGATACTTTTACCTCAAAATCGGGTCCAAGTTGACGGCACTGAATGCAATGTCCATACAGAAAAGTTGTATTAGTTGTTAAGAATTGACTGAGAGTCGAATCAGACAGTTCTATTTCCTCTAATTGTACCCCATTCCACTTACCAACAGTAGTCATTGAACCTCCATTATCTAATTGGTGACATCGCAGTTCATTATTTGCGCTGCATATGCCTGGACAGCATTTATGGCATGCTGGAGGTTTCTTGCAGGGATGATTAGTACACCCTGGAGTACCACAAAAACCAGAATCATCAATAGTACTAACACTTCCCAACAAGAGAGCAGTTAGAAATATGCTAAGGATCATCTTGCCAAAGAAGAAGAGAATCAGCTTAGTGATTCCTTGTGTAGTAGTAGCTAACTGATAAGGCTACAGATGTCACAAGTGTATTATTAGCAGTCAAAAGGTGAGTAAATGACATCATTATGATGCTGAGGTAATTTTACCAAATTAGTCATGTTGTACTCTTGATAATAATAAAAGTAAATATACGACCAGTAAAAATAAACTTTTAGAAATAAGCTAATGCTTAAATCAGCAGATATAGTTCATTTCCCTTAGCATGCACAAAAGGCACAGAACATGGAGTATTAAAATTATATTAAGTCACAAGGCTATATATATGTACTAATACTTATATCAACTGACAGGTTGCCTTTACTATACACATAAAGGTGCGTATACACAGTTAGTTTATGAGTATAGTAATGCATGTGACCTACTCTATCTCTAAATCATCACACCCTCATAATGAGTACTAAAGGGAGACATGCATCCTTTTTGTAATCTATAGCGCAGGAGTTTATATAATCCCCAGTTACCTGATACACACTAAACTGGATGAGTAAGCATAAACACTGACAACTGATAATAGAACATTAAGAATGCATCAAGTCTATTAAGAATATACATGGCATGCTAAACAGAATCTGCCCTTTATTATATTCAATGGTTTGTACTGTAACTTAAATTCTTAATACCTGTTCAGTAGCTTAATCATAATTTAGTTTGTTTGGTATTATTCAGTCTTGTGCACTGTACATGTATGTAACCCTCTATACGATATAGTATCTTAAGTGCTAATAGGACATTAGCACTTAAGATACTATATCGTATAGCGGGTTTATTTTAGGGATAATAATTTTTGCAAATGGCCTGTATCCGGAGGTTCGCGGAATTAATTTTTGCAAATTGCTACTTTTCTACCATCTTGTACAGTATCAAATAGATTTTCAAGGAGTTTAATTTTGGAAATATTAAAAAAATTGGCGAAATTTGTATCTTCAAAATAAACCCACTATACAGTAGTATATTGTCAATTAAAACTATACCTATAATGACAAGGAAATCAACTTTTGCTATCAGCTAGGACAACCTCCCTTACAATGTCTTAGGACATATATTGACTTTCATTTAGTAAGAGCAAGGCTATCACATATAATTATAATTTTGGAATAACCCAGCCATCTATCATTACTACAAATGACATCACTAGCATTTACATAAGGAACTGATAAGGAATTGATTATTAAAACATGGAATGATCATTGCTCTCTCAAGCAATTAAGCTGAGCGCACACAAGAATGACAGCCCAACTGCTTAGTACCCGCCTACACAAGCGTGGCAAATCCAATTAATGCACATCAGGAGAGCACATCCAGTATCATTAACATGACAAAGTGTTGCCCGTATGCTCATTACCAAATTTTCAAGCCTTTGAAGATAGTTGTTATGACTAGAAATGCAGGACATGCACAGCTGACTGATGATGCAAGGCTCAGTTTGTTACTTGGTTTGTTTCATTTGTTTGTCTAACTTTCCACTACACAACAAAAGCAGTTTAGACTGTTAAACCTCAGGATGCTGCTTATCACTAGCTTAATGTAAATCAAATAATATTTTTGATCAAAAAAATAATTGATAATCAAGGACTGACTGGTGGCCATTACAAGGAAAGAATAAATGATGAAAATACACAACAAAATTAATTATTATAATTATGATATATAGTGTTAGTAACAATAATGGTGGTACTGAGTAGCCATAGTAGGAGGTATATTCAGCTCTTACGCTTCTATGAGTTCAGATGGGCTTGAAGACTGTGAGCCAGAATGAGGTAAGATACAAATGCTGTTGTTCTCAGCTTCATCGCTCCTACTACTGCTACTATTAATACTGCTAGGCCTATTTCAATATAAAGCAGGAATGTTAAGTAAAATTATCATCCACAAGTAAATTTGGACAATTTTCTAACAGCCTAAAACCTGCCTCATGTGTACAGTATATACTCAAGACAATTGCCAAGTACATGTATAAATTACTTATCACTCACTAAAAATTGGCAAATCACCCCCTCCACTATATAATGCTACATGACATACAAAGCATAAGACCATTGTTGTTCTAATACAGGAAATTAATTGACTTACATTTCTGAGGACGGCGATTCCAAGACACGTTTTCTCCGCCGATAGCTCAAGTACATGATGACAAAAATGGAGCCTGCAATGACGAGAGAGAGTACAACCACGAAAAAGACAGTGAGTGATCCATAAATGAACATCTGGTTGTAAAATTGATCCTCAGAAGATGAGGAGGATGCAGTTGGATGTGGTGGTTTCTGTATAATAATGGTGGAGGAATATGAACGGGAGGAGGAGGAGGAGGAGGATAAAACAGGAGAGATCTGAGTATTGGAGACTGAGGTTGGCTGTGGTGGCTTCTGGTACTTTGAGGAGGAGGAGGAGGAGGAGGATGACGGGGAAGGTGGTGGAGATGAGCTCCGGCCATGAATTGGCATAGTTGAGACATGCTCCATATATGAAGTGGTAGCAACTGTAATGAGAGAAATGCATGCGGTAAGTGAAGGTCAGAACTTTTTAGTTTTGACTAATGTACATATTAATTATTTATAGACACACAGGGAGTTCAATATGGAACTCAGTTACCAATCACAATTATTGTTATAAAAAGGCGTGGGTGCAGAATCATTGGCTCTTGCAAAATAATAACAATAATAATAATAAATGTGCACATGATTACAATAAGAAGTACAACTTACAATTTAGGACTGATGTCACTATGGCTAACTCAGGTAGAATGGCTGAAATTAAAAAGGAAAAGACACATATCATTCTTGAAAGATATTTAATGGGACTTACATGTGTGCTTAATAGAAGAAGCTGGAGTTGAGTTTGAAGGAACATCTGTAATAGAAAGTAACGAAAATGTAAACAGATCAGCATAAAAATCTAATTTCTACAATACATGATTATCAGGGGGCTGGCTATATTGACCTCGAATACATCAAGACACAGAACACTTGAGGCAGTTTATGCTGTACATACACACCCAAGGGATACATTGTGTGCTGATAAAGTATTGACTACAACAGCTGCAGGATAGCTCGAGTTTTGATGTGGTCAGAAACCTCACATGATTGAATCTCACAAGAACCCTCCACCTGCACTCAGGTCAATATGCACACACATGCTGACTACAACCTTGCTTTCATCCCTCTCTACTCCCTCAGCCCTCAAACCAGACAAGAGCAGCAAAGGGATTGGAGTCAAGAACAACCAGCCAGAAAGCTGGGGACCATATAAGTGATGCACTTTTTAAGTTGTGATAAAGGTAGGGCCAACCAGTTTACTCTCATAACCCAGAGACCAACCATCAGACTAATCACAAAACCTCAGTAATGTAATTAATATATGGAGTATTTTGGCCTTTAGGTATATACATCCATGTTATTACATAAGACGCTTTTTAATGAATTTGTCTCGAAAAGAGAGAGAGATGTTAGCTCCACTCCTCTTTGAACAGAGCTTTTTCCGTAAACATAATTGTATTGTTGAGTAAAAAAGGAGGCAGCTATCATAAACAATGGCCACGTAGTAGTGAGTACACAGAAATCTGTAATACTATTTGTAAGCAATAGCATGAACACTATGAACAAAAGGAGCACAAAGCACATGCCCTCAAATCAATATGCACATACATGACTCTTATTCACACATCATGACCAATACATAATTGCTGGCTTACCAAAACAAGTATTAATGCACTCTGCCATCGAGTCAAACTTGTTTTTCTTGTTTCCAATGCCGCCATAGTTTTCACAGCTCTGATAGTAGTCAAACTTTCGGCAAGAGCTTGAGACGGTGTTATAATAATATTTCTTTACCGGCTCATCGGGACAAGATAGAAATGCTATCAGGGAAAGATTTTATTAAATAAAAATTAACAAACTTTTGCGTGAATCAATTGAAGAGCAATGTTAACTGAGGTTGGTGTTTCTTTTGTTCCTTTTCCCATCCCATCACATGCACTAATGAAACACTATAATTCCTTTGTCTGATAATATAATTTGGGATTACTTGATTATTCTCCTTCCAAAAAACAACAAACATATTGCACTTACTATAAAAAAACCCTCCGTGGCATTTCTCTTCATTCCGGGAGGATGCTACATCGAGTACAAGTAGTAACAGCAATGCTGTTATGCTTAGTCCCATAATTTTCATGCCCTACAAGAAGAAAGATTAATCTGAATACTAAACCACCCACTCTGGGGCTTGTAAACTTACGAGAGCTGGAAGACTCAAGACTCTTTCTTGCTCTCTCTTTTAATCAATCTATCATGCTCAATCAAGCGAGAGGCCTGGTGGCGAGAGAGGGGATATCTCCTTCATTTGTGTGGACGCTGTACCAATTACCATCAGGCCTTGGCGGCATGGGATTGTGCGCATGCGCAATCTACTTTTCCCAGAAAACCCCGCGCCTGCATTAAAATGGAAAACACCAAAGCCGGGCTGGTTTATCTTAGAAGAAAGCTGGGCCCGTTTATATCTGTTATAATTCCTTTTGGCTCTGAGAGGATTGCACCAGAAGTTACTGAGAGCATTCCTGACAGATCAGCAAGGAGACAATCCGTGACCATTCCCTCATTTACAAAGTAATGCTCTACATGTATATATATATATCTAACTAGTAAAAATATTGTTGCTAGTGATAAAAAGAGCCATGTTTCAGAAAGACTGATAGTAAGTGAGAATAATGATATCAAGGTACTGCAAATCTAATCAAATCCTCATCAAAATTAATGTTCAATACTCATAGCTGGTAGCAGCTGCTACTGCAGCACCTGTGACTAAGAATGATGATGATGATGATGATACTGTCTCATATCCTCCTCCTACTACTAAAAACTTTTTAAGGAAAATAAGAAAGACTCATATTCGTAACATTGTTTCCAGTCCACTCTTCTTTACTATCGTAATGATGATCATAGTTGCTAATGCAGTCATCATTGGAGTACACACTAACAAAGAACTGGTTAGCTTGTTTAACGGTACATCATGATATTATCAAATATTTGTAGGAGAGGAGCTATCCAACTCTATTCGTTACATTTCACTACATTTTTCTCGTTCTTTACATTTCTGAGATCCTTCTAAAGTTGTATTGTGACTTTCGTGGCTTCTGGAGAAGTTTCGGAAATATTTTCGACGTTGTCATTGTATCAGTTGCACTCTTTGGACCAAGTAAGACAATTATCTACACACGCAATAGCATGTATATGTACAATCCTTTATAATACTCAAAATTCAATTTAAAATTTGCAATAGTTTTCTCATTCATTCCTGGTTCTGAGTATGTACTTCGTCTGTTACGTATGATACTAGCATTGAGGACCATCAGAAGGTGAAACAATAATATCAATATTAGCTAGCAACACAGCATTACTCTTTCATAGTTTTACTGCATTGAGGGGACTTAGGCTTGTGGTCCAGAGCATCATTCGTGCTGTTCCAGGTTTATTTATTAATACATTCATTGCTCTACAGGCACTATAATACATTGTACATGCACTGTGGATCTTAATATCCTATACCCTCCCTCCTCTCTCCCCTCCAGATACTCTGAGTCTTTTATTTCTCCTCACAATTGTTATGTTTGTTTTTGCTGGTATTGGCATTACCTTATTTGGAAACAATTGTCCAAACTATTTTGGATCTCTTGGTTCAGGTGAGGAAGTCTATAAATATTATTAGTTAATCACATCATACATTCCTCCTTTTAAAGCATGGTTCTCACTCTTCATTTGTCTCACACTGGACGGGTGGACGGTCATAAGACAAGATCTACAGGTTTATATACAGTAACTGGTTTTTCCTGAGATCTTTATCTGATAGGATTGTGGCTATGATGTACTGGGCCCACTCTATCTTGTACTGTTTGTCATAATTGGATCGTTTATACTTGGAAATTTAGTAGTTGCAGTCATCATCAACAACTTTGTGAGTTTCAATATATCTAATGTGTACAACAAACGTAGATTGTTTACTAATTTTTCTATTGCTACATGTGTACATTGTTTTAATATCAATCTTTCATTTGATGTAGGAATCTTCATTAGACGAAGAGGAAGGAGTGGACACATTTGATCAATCAAAAGATCGTAAATTACAAATTGATCTTTTTATTAATATTATCATCATTAACTATCCTCTCTTTTCTTATTCACTAATATATCATTATTATTTATATTTTAATATAGTAACTTCGGATAAAACAATCAATGTGTCTCGGCTACTCTCAAGATCATCAAAAGGGCAGTCACCTACTGATACTCCGGTACAATAATCTAAACACATTAATATCATAACAACTTAACATTAAAATGGCTTCATCACCAAAAGATAATCTTAATAATAGAGTTAATTTCAATTAGCTTGTTTGTAATTGTTTTGATTGCTAAACTATTTCCCACTTATGATAGCGTATTTACAATCATGTTTATAGCATATATTTATGTATCATGCAACTGTGCGTAATCCGTACATGCATATCATTCATTACAGGTCATAGTTCCAACAATCGAAAAGTTAGAAAAATTATTTTTTCTTCTCTCTGCATTTGAGAACAACCTAAGAGAGCTCAAGAAGATACAAAAGAGTCTTCACGAGATACTTCATAAAGTAATAGCAACAAAAGATAAAGTCCATCAGTTCACATGAGCCCTTTGGTCAATAAAGAGGTAGTACAAGAAACAAGGCCATTAGGAACATGCAAATATGTACATGTACATGTACTGTGATGTACATGTACATGGATATGTGTTAGCTGTGAGTGAGTGAGAGAAACAGCTCAACCTTAAAATCAAAAGGTTTAGGGCACAAGTGAACACAAAAGTGACTCATTATATTAACATTATCATCATAATAAACATATCAACACATTATACATGTATTATATTAGGTAAAGGCTTTATCTGAGATAGAAGAGGCTAATGCAATGGAGAGGGTATCAACCAACACACCATCCGGTATAACAAATTCAAGATCAAGTGTTCATGCGTCAAGATCATTTAGACATTCAGTAAGAGATCTAGAGTTTATAATCACTACAGTACTATATAGGATACATGTTTATAAATGAATGTGCATGTAATTAGTACGTTATAGAAATTTCAGTCAATGATAGTGGATGGTCTTTTGTCAATTTTTAAAATCTTATTTTTGATCCAAATCAGCCCAAAATTTATATGTAACGTAAGTATTATACATCAAAATAAAATATAAAAATTAAGAACTTTCTCCAAGCTATTTTTGAAAAAATTCACACAATGGTCTTTAACCACTTGAGCAAATTTTAGAAATTCATAAAAATTTTTGATTTGGAATTAGCTCAAGCTTTCTACACAATGTACATGTCCGTTTATGTACACGTACCAAAAATTATAAAAATAAAAAATTCTCTCCCAGTCATTATGGCAAAATTGGTTTTTAGCCAAATAAAGGGTCTTTAGCCCAATTTCAACAACATTAAAATTCATTTAAAAATCCAACTTTGATTGGAATCAGCTCAAACTTGCTACACTACATAAGAATGTGTATATATGTATTAAATTCTCTCCTAGTCATTTGTTTGTCCAATGGTCCTGTACTATAATAGTATAGCCAATTTTTAATTAACTTTTAAAATTCATAAAAAATTTAACTTTGATTGGAGTCAGCTCAAACTTGCTACACAACATAAGAATGTGTATGCATCAAATAAAATTATATAAATGAAGATTTCTTTTTGGAAAATTTTGGCAAAATACCCTATACTGTACTATGGTCTATTTAAAAAAACAACTTAAATCATAAAACCTAATTTTGATTAAAATCAGCTCAAAATTTCTACAAACAACAAATCTTATTTATTAGCTATTGCTATCATTTCTAGTTGTTTGATCAGAGAGGTGATGCAGTGTCAGGACTGATATCACTGAGTCATCGTCACGTCTTTGAAGGATCAAATGTGACGTCTCTCAACTCACTCTTCACTCACCTCCAACCACACGCATCAAAACCAGTGCTACATGACTAAACTCAAGCAATATATGAAGGAGAACAATACACCAGACAATAATAATAATGTATGCTTAATTGCTATAGAGTAGGAGAGGAAGGAATAATTGGTATTAGTAATTTAGAACAAGTACTTAAAAACACAAGTCATACCAAGCCCTCAACTCTTAATTAAGCCTGGTTCTCATTATAGCCCTAGATATAGCCCAGCCTGTCCAGGTCTAGCTCTATACAAGTTGTATACTACAGACTCAATTGTATAGAAACCATGCTTAATGTATGACAGTAAATAATGAAGCTATTACACCAGTGTGCTTTAATACTTGGCCAACTTTAACTACAATTACAATAATGATAATAACAATGAAATCAGTGTTAATAATATATGAACAGAGTCATCAATTATTGTTAATTTATTATTCAGTTATAATTGTAACATCAATAAGAGATTACATGTTGTCATTAAATCCCAAATTAAGCTATAAGTCCGACGAACCTTTAAGAACTTGCAACACGCCCACATTAGTGGCCCCTCCTCTCTTAGGACGATGACTCTCTAGTCTCTCCTTTACTAGTTTACATTTTGTTGATCTCGTTCTCTCCCAGTTTGCATGAAGTCTGTCGCTGCAGGAGATGGGGAGGGAGATGAGGTAAGATATGACGTGTCGTGGTAGAGGGAGCTCCTTTATTCTTCTCCTCCTCCCAACCCCCATATACTTCCTGATGGCCAAACGACAGAAATGTTGCAAAGGCCACACTCGACCTGAAAGAGAGAGAGAGAATTAAAGGTAGAGACATGATAACAAATTACCATACAGTAAGTAAGTTTTATCATGTGCTTTAGACTGTTAGTTTTATAAGTCCCAAATTTTTTTATTTATCTAATTAATATTTGCCAGGTGTGCACTGTGCAGTATTTAAATGCAATAAGTTATTATTCTACAAGTTGCTGAGCATTAATTTTCATTATTTTTAAGGTGTATTACGATCAACTTCTAAGGAAATTTAGGGGAAAAAATATAAAAAACCCACAAAAATTACCAATTATTATGAGGTGTGAAATTTATAATAGGGAATATGAGCTAACTAGCTGTTAATTAACAGACTAAAATGAGAAGAGCACTTTTCAAAATACAAACTGAACAAATACCAAAAAATGCGCTGTCTCACAATATATGTATTACTTCAAAATTATTTTTGAATCAAATCAAAAATCAAACTATAACATTATAGATCTAGTCTAATATTCTACTAACTAACTATACACACACACACACACACAATATGTACTGAACTGTTCATCAGTATAATATTCTCATCATTTGACATACAACTCATAAAAGCTAACTGGAACATCTTCATCAATTGGTGCAGCTTGATTAGCACACACCCTCAGCTCAAGGTAGTCAGTAGTGGTAGTACCAAGTACTTTATTGAACCATGGAAGACTAGGACGAGATGTACAACAATTACCTTCAAGACTACCACATCCTTTACCATCCCACAATGGATCAGATGCATAGAGTACACCAAATTGATATGAACCATCGGTGGAAGGATTACCAGATTCACAGAAGTAGTCATTACCAATGAAAGACTGAAGAGTTGAGTTTTGAGTACTACCTTGAGAGCAAGGACAATTAAAACGACCATCATTATTATGAAGACTAGCTTCATTCAATCCAGCCATTAGTGTCCAGACATGTTGACGAGGAGACCCACGAGTGATACTAACACCATCAACATAATGAGAATTAATATCATTGATAATAGGCCTAGGATCAGCTGCATCAGGTGTACCATACTGATATCCCACTACTCTACCACACACTTGAGAGTAACTGATACCATTAGATGGGAACTGAACTGATACACAACTGCCTACACTTGATGTTGCTCTACCACAAGCTCTAACTCCTCCTGACTGGTACAGTCTAAACCCAGAAGGACAGCTCTCTGTAGCATCAGTCATATCCAGATATGCTAGTCTTGTCCATGAATCTCCTTTTGAACCACACAGCAACTTCTCCATATTACAGTAAACATATTTAGTTCCATTATTAGTTTTCAGTAGATATACACCAGAAGGACTGTTTGGTTGTTTGTTCTTAATCTCTTTACAAGAAGTAGGGATAGGAGAGAAGGAAGATGAGTCATTGTGTAACATGATAAGGTCTTCCACTAATAGCAGTATATCATTGATAGCTCCAGCATTAGAGGCAGCAGTCTCCTTGATATGAGAGAGAGAAGAAATGATGCCATCCATTTTCTGTTTTAATTCTTGAATATCTTGACTATTGTTCCCAGTATTATTACTGCAGATATTACATGCTGCAGTACAGGTATTGTTGACAGCATCAAATGTAAGAGAAAGATTAGAACTACTGATAAACTGAGGGAGACAAGCAATAGCTAGTATAAGAAGAGAGAGCATTATTATCCTCTTTGTAATGATTGTTTACTGTTTACTCCTCACTCCTTTTATAATATTCAGAAGAGCCTGACTAATGACATCAGACACGATGTCATAAAAATATAGCGTATTGTGCTAAGAGTACACATGATGTGTAATTTGTAACAAAATGATAATGTACTATACACAGTTTACACATATCCCGTTGTTATACATACATGTACACCTATTATGATTACTGATAATGACAAGAGTAGATAATAGTTAGAGTGTCAAACTGCACTATATTAGCTGAAACATCACTGTGTAGAAGCTAGAAGTAAGTCATGTGAGACCTAAAGCGTGGGTGTACCTAAAGACACGTGTAGAAGTTTGCATAAGGAACAGTGGAGAACACTTGAGAAGAAGCTTTAGACATCATACTATAAGCTTTAGAATGCCGCTGAAGTCTGTTACAGGGGCTGAGACACCAATCTAAAAGTGGGGGGGGCTCATTTTTTAAACCAACGTACATTCATTAATTTAATTATATTTAAAATGATCCAAAAAATTTAGTGCGTTTATCAGTTACACTAATATACTCCTTAGCAATTAATACTAAGTCTAAATTATCAGTAATTTCCTTATGTATATGTAATAGTAAGCAATTGTTCTGCTCAAAAGTGGGGGGGGCTGTGCCCCCCCTGCATCAAAAGTGGGAGGGGGGTCCAGCCCCCCTGCCCCCCAGATTCTCAACCACTGTGTTATGCAGTACTGCTATAGCAGAGACACCAAAACGCCCAGTAAACCTTGTTGAGCAAACACTGCAGCCTAGTGCCTATGTGATTGTGTGCATGTATTATGTTTGGGTGTTAGGACAAGGCCCTTTCATTCCATCAGGACTTCTCTACTGTGTTTGCTATTACTTATCATTAATTTTAGTTTTCTTCTCTATTTTGTGTCCTGTAAAGCCTCAATAATAAACAAAATAGACAGAATTACCCAGCTAACTGAAATGCCCTGTCCTGTATTGCATTATGTATCACTTTCAAATTATTTTCAAATCAACTACTCAAAAACAAAAAAACCACAACTATAAACTAACTACAACTAGTCTACTATTATACCAACTAACTACACACACGCACTATCTATCAAACTGTGTTTATCAGTTTATGTTCTCATCATTTGACATACAACTCATAAAAACTAACAGGAACATTTTCATCAGTTGTGCTTTGATCTCCACACACCCTCAGCTCAAGGTATAGTCAGTAGTGGCAGTGTTTAGTATCTTATTGAACCATGGAAGACTAGGACGAGATGTACAACAATTACCTTCAAGACTACCACACCCTTTACCATCCCACAATGGATCAGATGTATAGAGTATGAACTGAAATGTACTATTGGTAGAAGGATTACCAGATTCACAGAAGTAGTCATTACCAATGAAAGACTGAAGAGTTACGCTTTGCAGACCACCTTGAGAACAAGGACAATTTAGGTGGCCCCTATTGGGATCATTAACATGATAATCAGCTTCCATCAGTCCAGCCATTAGTGTCCAGACATGTTGATGAGGAGACCCATGAGTGATACTAACACCATCAACATAATAAGTATTAATATTATTGAGATATTGATAAATGTTACTAGTACCAACTGCATCAGGTGAAGCATACTGATATCCCACTACTCTACCACACACTTGAGAGTAACTGATACCATTAGATGGAAGCTGAACTGATACACAACTGCCTCCACTTGATGTTGCTCTACCACAAGCTCTAACTCCTCCTGACTGGTACAGTCTAAACCCAGAAGGACAGTTCACTGTAGCATCAGTCATATCCAGATATGCTAGTCTTGTCCATCCTACTGAACCACACAGCTCCTCCATATTACAATAAACACTTTGAGTTTGATTATTAGCAGTTTTCAATAGGTATATACCAGAAGGACTGTTTGGTTGTTTGTCCTTAATCTCTTGACAAGAAGTAGGGATAGGAGAGAAGGAAGATGAATCATTGTGTAACATGATAAGGTCTTCTACTAGTAGCAGTATATCATTGATAGCTCCAGCATTAGAGGTAGCAGTCTCCTTGATATGAGAGAGAGTAGAAATGATACCGTCCATTTTCTGTTTTATCTCTTGAATATCTTGACCATTATTCCTTGTAGCATTGAGTAGTTCATTCAATAGCTTATCATCAGTGTTGTATTGATTGGTATTAGTATTACTGGTATCACTGCAGGTATATATATATAGTACAGGCTGCAGTACAGGTACTGTTAGTAGCATCAAATGTAAGAGCAAGATTAGAACTACTGATAAACTGAGGGAGACAAGCAATAGCTAGTATAAGAAGAGAGAGCACTATTATCCTCTTTGTAATGATTGTTTACTGTTTACTCCTCACTCCTTTTATAATATCCAGAAGAGCCTGACTAATGACATCAGACACGATGCTGTATGCAATGACAAACATTTAAAGAGCGTACTCTATACCGTGTAGTTCTGTTTTGCTAATTTAATCAAGAGCATGAATGATTACTGGAATGTGAATATTGTGTAACAGATTCAGGAGTGCTTGCAGAAGTGCAGAAGAGCCTGACTATTGACATCAGCAGGTAATGTCAAACATTTAAAGGACGTACTCTAGACCAGTGACTTGTCAGCGAAAAATGTATAGGTAATGTAGTAGTACACTAACACTATCAATTTGCATACCACAACCCATAACTAATGGCTATGCAGAGCTACTACGACTCCCTGACCAATGTGACCATTACTTCAAGCTAACGGAGAAGCCAGAATCTTTGTATCTATTATAATATTTTCAATGTACAAAAGGTATTACAAGTAAAGAGAATAAGTTTACTAACTTCAGTTGTTAGTTACAAATATTTGTACTGGTACCCATAAATACCTTTTAACTTTTATTAACTTTTAACTTTTAAGGGAATTTAGTAGAAATATTGCCCCCCTAAAATGACCAACTATATGGTACTGTTACTTCTGTATCCATGGGTATGCAAGCCAGCAAAATATCAGAGGAAGTCAAACCTGCTAATGCGGACACCCTAAATAGGACTCTTATTTAATGAGGACAGGTAGTATCAGTACCAATGCAATATAAATGTGTATTAATGAACCCAGTATTGTTGAGTCCAAACTAAAGGTTTGACTGTAATTATCAAGTACATGTATATACCATTAATTCATTCAGTCATCAGTACCACATTGAAATACATGCACTGTTACTTTGAGCCTCTTTCAACAGGTCATTACATACAGGAACATGATCAGAGAAGTCAACAGGACTCATAGTATCACTGACCACATCTTCATTATAGAGTCTTGCCCCATAAGACAACAATAGCTCAGTTGCATTGCTTTAAAATTATTTTTAAATCAACTCAATCAAACAACTAATACATCTACTACTCTATTAACTCACTACACGCATGTACACACAATATGTACTGAACTGTTCATCAGTATAATATTCTCATCATTTGACATACAACTCATAAAAGCTAATAGGAACGTCTTCATCAATTGGTGCAGCTTGATTAGCACACACCCTCAGCTCAAGGTAGTCAGTAGTGGTAGTGTTTAGTATCTTATTGAACCATGGAAGACCAGGAGCTGCACAGCAATCACCTTCAAGACTACCACATCCCTCACCATCCCACAATGGATCAGATGCATAGAGTACACCAAATTGATATGAACCATCGGTGGAAGGATTACCAGA